CGCGAAGAAAAAAGAGGGGGAAGTCAACGCGGTGTGTGAGGCGACGCCGGCGGCGAGCCCGTTCGAAAACGAGGAGACGGCTCGGTTTAGCGAAAGAGGATGGCGAGGTGGCGTGCGTGCAGGGCTGTCAAGACGGCTCGTTGTTCGCGAAGCTCTTGTTGGGCTCGCTAAGAAGTTAAGATAAGTCGTCCGTGTTTGGCCGTTTTGAATCCAAATGTTAAGTTTATACACGTATAAGTAGTGTTTTAAAAAAAATTTAATTGTCTACCAAGCTACAAATATTTATAATCAATTAATATAATAATTAAAAAAGTGGAATAAAAATTATTAAATTAGATTCAAATAATGTTTTAATATAAATAATAATTTTTAAATATTGTTCAAATACTTATCGTCTTATGACTTCGTGATTAGGGTTGCTCTTTGTCCACTTATCGTCTTATGACTTCGTGATTAGGGTTGTCTCTTTGTTCGTGAACAACTCGTGTTCGACTTGTCAAGCAAACCAGCCGAACACGAACACATTTTTTTAGTTCGAAATATAAACGAGCTGAACACGAGCTGAGCATGCTCGTGTTCGGCTTGTTTAAAAAAATCTAATTGTCTACCAAGCTACAAATATTTATAATCAATTAATATAATAATTAAAAAAGTGGAATAAAAATTATTAAATTAGATTCAAATGATGTTTTAATATAAATAATAATTTTTAAATATTGTTCAAACACTTATCGTCTTATGACTTCGTGATTAGGGTTGTCAAAAGGATTCTTTGTTCGTGAACAACTCGTGTTCGACTTGTCAAGCAAACCAGCCGAACACGAACACATTTTTTTAGTTCGAAATATAAACGAGTTGAACACGAGCTGAGCATGCTTGTGTTCGGCTTGTTTACGTGTTCGGCTCGTTTACACCCCTATATGGGGGAATTATTTTTTAATATCTATTATTTATAAGAATTGATTTCTGTGTAGCTGGCTCTTTGTACGAAATCATTGTTAAATGGGCATTTTTCTTACTCAAAATTGATGTTCAGATGCTCTCTCGCAGTTTTTTTCGTCATCTGAGTTTATCTGAAAAAATTCATGGATGAATGTGTCAATTTAAGCAAGTATCGCGTGTGGCGTAGCGAATGAAATCTCTTGAAATGAGTGAAGTCGTCCGTCAGACAAAATGCCAACCGGTCTTTGCCTAAGCAACTACCAAAGTCTAACAGGAAGACCCCGGCCACTTGCCCATTCAATGTATGTTGGAAGGTCTGAAATGGATGTCTCGCACTACGAGAATCAACTTGTGCATCAAACAATGTTCCATAAAGCTCCAGTAGACATTCTACACTGAAGACATCAAAAATTGATGTCAACATCATCATTTACCTCTAGGGTTCACCCGTGAGATCACTAGGACGAGCTTATCTTTGTCGTCGAGCACGATCGAATTTACATTTTCATGCACATGTTCGCACTCATATGGCATGAATTTTTAAATTGAATTAAAAATACTCTTTTTTGCACTGAATGCATATGTTAGCACCATCGATTACTCTCCTCGGCTTGACCAATCACTAGCACCAGTCGACCAGTTTGACCGACCCTTCTTCGGCGATCGGTAGTCCATGCCATCCAATCGACCACTTTCATCGACAGATCTACTCCGCTGGTCTGTTCAATTTGACCGACCCTCCTCCGTCGATCAGTCGCCTACACCGGACTGACCAATTTGACCAACCCTCCTCCGTCGATCGACCTCCCATGTTAGTTCGATTGATCACTTTCGTCTGCTTGACTGGTCGGCTGTCATCCATTCGATTGGTTAAACATACCCTTCATCATCGATCAGTTGCCCACGTCGGTCTGATCAACCACTCGTCGACTTATCAACTGTTACAATTCCGATTGATTTGACCAATCATCCTAGATCATCCTCCACGCCCATCCAATCGACAAGTCATGTCGGCTCGCCAACTTAGTGTCACCAGCCCGACCAACCCTCCTCCGTCGGTCGACCTCCCATGTTGGTTTGATTAACCACCATCCATTCGATTGGTTAGACCTGCCCTTCTTCATCAATCGGTCGCCCACGTCGGTCTGATCTACCACTCGTCGACTTAACTAATCAACTGCCATCAATCCAATTGATTCGACCAACCCTCCTTTGATAAGTCGTCCACGCCCATCCAATCAAAAAATTATGTCAGCTCAACCAACCTGCCTCCATCGGCCCGACTTTGTCGATCGACTCCACTTGAATAGTGTATGATTGCATTTTCGTTTTATTGCTTGCATGAACACATTCACTCGTGCACCCCTTGGTGCACCTGTGAGCATATGCCCCATACGCTCATGGTGGGTCTGTGTCGTACTTAAGCATAAAACTTGATGCATGTTCCTTGACATTTTCATGTCACTGTGCATCATGTCCTTTGTGTTTGCATTTGCATTTGTGCTCATTTTCCAGTTTCTTTGCATAGTATACTGTATGTTTGCATGTCATGTGTTAATGATTTGCATTTGAGTTATTGTTCTAGCACACTCATGTGTCTTTTTTGGGAACGACTTGCACTCTAAGTGTACCCTTTGTGTGGCTCTCCCGTAACAAGGATCACACTCATCATGACATCTATGTGTCTTTCTCGAGTCACCTTTCCTCGCACACTCACCCTTCTTGAGGCACTGCCTTCTCGACACACCCATTCACAAGTCACTGCCTCCTCAGCATAGTCAACCTTACTTAGTCACTACCTTTGTACACTCACTCTTCTGAGTTACTATTCCTTGTACACTAATCCACCATTCAGGAACTAATCTATCATTCATAAGTGGTGTTATGTCTCATTGTTATGTCGTTAGAAATAACTCAACACAAAAACTATCATAAAACCGTCGGAAATGACATTTTTATCGAAAAAAATTTAAGCCATAGGTTATAGCATTTTTTCCCGTGGTGGATGACAGACTTTTATTCTGACAACCGACTTTTCCTCCAAAGACTGACTTATCTCCGACAACCGACATTTTTTCAGCTAGAGAACTTTTCCCCCAACCTTGACCTTTTTCCTTCGACGACAAAATTTTCCCTTGACGATCGACTTTTCCTCAAACCACAGACTTTTCCTCCAATATGAAAATTTTCCTCTGATGGCTGACTTCTTTCGTCGATCGGCCACCAGAACCCGACATCTCCCCCAACAAAAGTCTCCAGAATGACAGATCTAAAAGATGACAACAAAGATACCAAAATTGAGCACAAAAAGTGCATAACAGGGATTATCATAAACAAATTATGTGTTCAATATTTTTTTTGATAAATTTCTTTTTCTTTATTGTAGCTGTCACTATCAAAGTAACATTTATACTAAAAAATGGTATGCATGGATCTCAAGATGATCCAACAATCGTAATAAGAGGAACTAGAATGCTCTTTGCTCTTCTCTTTAAAGCAAGATTAAATATGTAATTTTTATATTTTTGCTATTCTTATCTTCTGTAAATAAGAGAACTATATGATGTATGAGGGACTTTTGGATCTCCCACCCCTTAACACATTTCCTTATGAAATAAAATGAGTCGTCGGCCACGGGAACACCCCATTCTCCCCGAACGGGAGAAGTTTCTCTCCTCCTCCTCCTCCTCCTCTCTCTCTCTCTCTCTCTCTCCCTCTCTCTCTCTCTCTCCCTTTCTCTCCCTTTCTCAATTCTCTTTTCTTGCTCTAATACTCTATTACTTGGACATGATCTACCAGACAGATTTGGATTCAATTATATATATATATATCCAACATATTAGTGTGCTTATTAAATATAAATTGTTACATACTACGATGAATTTGAAGTCTCTCCAAACATGAATATGTACTTTTGTCTTATAATTTTTTTTCCACTTTGATAAGTAAAGATACAAAAAAAGCCATTTGTAATTGAAAATTGAAAGCGGATGGTATAACTTATTGATAGTTTAACCAACTTCTCTTCGAAACTCAATATTAAACTATTTGCTCACATTGATTAGATCATATAGACATTAGTGTTACAATTATAGAACAGACTCTCACTATTATTTATAAAAGTATATGATAAGTTGCTCACAATAATATCTCAGGCTAAATAGCAATAGCTTGACTTCTATTTATTTGTTGAAGAACATTGCACATTGATCCCAACAAAAGTACATGCTGCTCAAGCATCACTACATGAATAGTTTGCTCAAATGTAGTGCTCTATAACTCATCAAGATAAAAAAAAATCATATTTTATAGAAATATTTATATATATTTTTAAAAGCTACAGATATTTCAAATTTTAGCTTATGAAAATAATAATTTTAGTATAAAAATTAAATGCATATTTTACATAGAAATCCAATATTTTTTATATATAAAAAAATCATGTTAATTACTCTCATTAACCTAATAGAAGATATTATATAATACAATATTAAATCAAAGTACTTGATAAGAGATTTTTTAATTAATTTTTTTTTAAATAGGATTTTATCATAATGAAAAATAAATTCAGCCTTGAATTAATAGTAAATCAATTGCATTCATTCAATAAAATCATCACATATAGTTATATTTAGAGTTTTTTTTTTCAGTGTCTTTTTATGTTTAATTAAAGATAAGAAAATACAAAAAATAAAATATTAAAAGTTTAAAATATAATGAAATATTTATTTTCGCTAAATTTAAAAAAATAATCGTAACAATGTCATTTTTGAATGATGTGTTGAGCACACCTGATCGTTGTTGTCCGTCATCAATTGTGGCTCCCTATTCTTGTCATTAGCATTATTGAGAAATTTGCATGCATACCACACAATATATCTAATACTTAATATTTGTTATTTCTTTTTTTATAACAACTTACTAATTAAAAGTTTTGCATAAAAACATGTATTTCACTTTTAAGTAATAATATTTTTTTATGCTATCTTAAAAATTAGAGTTGTATGCATGTAAATATGCAAGTTTAAGTGCAAAATATATAAATATATTAGAATTGTGGTATATATGTAAGTACCCCAAAAAACGTATGCATTGAGATGCACTAAAAAAAAAGGAATTGTGGGTCTCTCGTGTAATGACAAATTTTAGCATGTACGCACGGCTTTACATACTCTGTCTCTCTTGAGCAGCCATCTATCCAATTCCCTTATGTGTGTGTGTGTGTGTGTGTGTGTGTGTGTGTGTGTGTGTGTGTGTGTATTCCTATTCCTACTTCTCTATCCCTCTATTCATCGCTCTTTTTCACTAAATTTCAAAAATCATCATAACCAAGTCATTTGTAAATGATGTGTTAAGTCACACCCGATCGTTGTTATCTACCATCAATTGTGGCACCCTATTATTGTCATTTGCATTATTAGGAAATATGCATACATACCACACAATATATATAATACTTAATATATGTTATTTATTTTATAACAACTGCCTATTTAAAACTTTTCCATAAAAACATATATTTTTATGTAATAATAGCATTTTTTATGCAATTTTAAAACTTGAAGTGGTATGCATGTAAATATGCAAGTTTAAGTCTAAATATATAAATATATTAGAATTGTGTGGTATATATGTAAATGCCCTTTATCGGAACAAACTGTAAAAAAAGGAATTGTGGTTGTCAGTCTCACGTGCAATGACAAAATTTAGAATGTACGCACGGCTTTGAATCCCCCATCTCTCCCAATCAGCCATTTGTCTCATTCCTTCGTCTATAGATATATGTATATACTCTTTATCCCTCTATTCATCTCCCCTTTTCTCTCTGACCGCTAGTAATGGAAAGGACGATAAAACAGGAGCTGAAGCCGATGGGGAAGCCTAAGCATAAATGTCGTATATGTAAAGGGAGATTTAGTTGCGGGCAAGAGCTCGACGAACACATGCAAAGCCACCGGCTGAACAATGGAGAAGCCACCACCTGCGAGCCGTTATGCATATCTGAATTCTTCTCAAGAAATTCAAACTTTGAAAGTGGTGGTTGCAGCTCCGTTGTTGGCGCTGCCGGCAGCGGTGAACCAGTTGATGGAAACCCGCATCCACCACCACAATTGAGCGCAAAAGATGAAGATGTGGTTCATTGCCTCCTTGTGCTCTCCAACTCTGGCTCCGAGTGTGCCAATGTCCCAAACCAAAACCTTTCCGCCACTCCTGCAGGTTACGAATGTGATAATTGCAATATGGTCTTCCCATCCCACCAGGCCCTTGGCGGCCATCGAGCCAGCCACAAAAGTGTTGAGGGTTGTTTTGTTGGGAGTCTCAAAATTAGATCAGCCGACGCCAACAATAAGCGGATTGAAAACCAAAATAACAATGTTGATAATCAAAATAATATGGCAAGACCTTCGCCGGAAAATATGGCATTACCGATTGTCCCATTGGCAGAATATTCGTTGCAACTTCGGTTGCCATCGAGGAAAGATCCCAAACCTCACATATGCAAGGAATGTCACCAGCACTTCCCGACTTGCCAGGCACTTGGTGGCCATATGCGTTGTCATCAGATAGCATTAAACATTACCGCCACAGCGGCGACCACCACCGGCACTGCTGCTTCTGTAAACTTGATGACCACCGCCGCCACGGCCAAGGTCGCTACTGCCACCACCTTCGCCCCGGATGCACAAATAGGAGCTAGTAGCAGCGAAGTGAATGAAATACAACTACATATGCCGACTCTTCCTCCTTTGTTCAAAAATCCACATCTTAATATCAACCAAAACATGCCGGCGGAGCCGACCAATAATATAGACGGAAGCTCGTTGCAGCTTTGCTTTTGCGACTGAAATCTCCACAACATGGATGAGAGAGGGAGCCGAAGAGGAAGCAGGATCTTGGTGATATAGCGGCGGAGCCGACCGATGATATGAACGGAAGCTTGCTGCAGCTTTGCTTTTTTGACGTAAAATCTCCACAACATGGATGGGAGAGGGAGCCGAAAAGGAAGAAAGATCTTTGTGATTAAGCTACGGAGCCGATCAATGATATGAACGGAAGCTCGCTGCAGTTTTGTTTTTCCGATGTAAAATCTTTACAACATGGATGGGAGAGGGAACCAAAGAGAAAGAAAGATCTTAGTGTTCTCAGGAACTCGGACGATGAAGATGGAAAAACTCCATGGTTGCGACTTGGGATCGGATCCAAGTCTGATGAAAAAGGTGAAGAAGGTGAGCATGACAGCGAGGGACATTGAGGGACCAAGCTTGAGAAGGAAACTGAGATGACGGTTTCAACTTTCTAAATTATTTGTTTGAAAAACTAGTTATCTTTTTTTTGTTATTTATTAAAATGAATTTATTTAATGTATGCCTTCAAGAATATTGCAGTAATTAAAGAATAATATGAGTGTATATATCGACATTTATTTTGGGTTAATTATGAATATAAGAAAAATTCATATTTACATTTAATCAGCTAATTTTATTGGTTATATAATGTTTGGTTGATTGATGTTTTAAATGAGTGAATGATCCGAATGGTTTTTAATATATATGGTTTATTAAGCATTGTGTATAGGAGTTAGAATTATAGCTGATATATATTGCTATTTTTCATAAGGTTTGTGTCCCTTATTTCTTTCGGGATGGTTATGTCTTTATTTTGATTTATTGACAACATGATGGTTTTTTTTAGTTGATTGTTAAATTTTCTTGATTAAATACCACGAAAAATTCATTTGATTAAAAACGTCATTTTCTTATACTTATCATTTTTTTAAATATTTGTAATGTACTCATTTTTATTGAGAGTTCTTAGGTATGGGCACCATTAGAGGAGCATTCTCACATTTGGAGTGCAAAAGGTGGATGATAAAAGTTATTGCATATATTAAATCTTATTCAAAAATTTAATAAATTTGTTTTATCTTATGACACAGTACAATTTGAACGAGAGCCCACCATCAATGAGGGACATATTGGTTTTCATTAGTATTAGTCGGATTACTGATATGTCGACACTAGATCACAGAGAACACATGTAAGTGTCAGAGACTCGAGAATGATTTTTTTATCATTACAATTATTCTAATTTTTTTTTTCATTAAGTATCCTTTATATTTTTTTGTAGAATATGTACCGATAGTTAGAGGAGGCTCATAGTTAGTAGGCAAGAGGAGTTTCTATCCCTGGTATTGATTAGTCGGACTATGAAATTTGAAGAGAAGTTGTTGGGGGTAGTAAGAAGAAGGTAATGATTGATGGCTTGGGTCACATGGACATGAGTATGACGCACACCGCTCCTTTTTTTGGTCTACATTTATCCAAGATGGATGATGAAGTTCATTTCGTAGGTAAGTTACAACAACCAATAATGATGTAGAGGCTTGAGTTGCACAAAACAACTCACTAAGATGGAAGCGAGAATGAAGATGAAATTGGAGGAGGTGTGACTTACGACACATTGGAGAGAGAAGCAACCAATGGAGAAGGATATAGCAGAGGATGGGATGAGGAGACCGACGAGGAGTAGGATTGTTGTTATTTCATTTATTGTTTTGAGACGTTTAAGGAATATGTATGTATTAGTATGCACAAATTATTTCATTTTATGATGTTTAATAAATTAGAATAAAGTTATGTTTAATTAATAATTATATTTATATGGTTTGACTTTAGTAGCTATGTGGATTGAGAAATTAGAATGTGTGATGCATACTTCATTTAATTTTTTGATGCAATTACAAGTGTAAAAATTATATAGAGAAAAAGGAGGATCCATATATTTTTTTTAGGGACAATATTTCGATGGTCAATCAAGGGCCTATGTGGATTTAGTTTTACTGATGTTAAACCAATAGGGAGCCATCAATTTCTCAATAGGTTTGAACCGACAGAAATGTTACCGTAAGAAAATAATACCAATGGGCAAAGGACCGTCATAATATCGTCGAAAATATAAATTTTTGTCAATTGTCTTTCTAGGATGATAAGAGCAGCAAATACATATGGGATAGCATTTGCTTCGTTAAATAACCGACGACAAATTCAATACTACCAACGGGTGCAGCAGGCCGTCAATTGCTTAAAATGGCTTAAAATCCTGTTGTGACCCCTCAACGGCTGAATTCATTCAGAGTTTAAAGGAGAGAAATAAGTGTGTATTCAACTTTGAAAATTTTGATGCAGTTTCCAAGTAGGCGTAAAATAACATATAAGTTGTATGTCATGGCGAACACAAAACATAGCAAAAATATATATTAAATTCATTAATTTACTTGATTATATCAAATAACGCAAGTTTGAATGTAAATGCTAAAATTGTCTTATGCTTGCTCTCCAATTTGATAAGGATGCAAATTGAGAAATAGGATGTGGAACTTATAACATCTTCATATGGTTTTAAGCACCCTTAGCATCCGATGCTAATATCGGGATATTCCGTCCCTATTTTTTATTTGTTTTAGAATTGCGTCGTCATTTTGGTCCAAACAGAATCGGGTTAATAGTGTACTTAGCGTTTAAAATATTCCCTTGCTTCCTATTTACCAATGTTAGCTAAATTCTCCGCAAGATGCAATTTTTAACATCATAATTTGCGTCGCTTATATTATTGGCAAATAAATAACTATGATAATTTCAAAATATTTATTTTTTGATTATCCAACATTTTACATGTATGCTGAAAACATCAACTAAACAAGAAAATATTATATAATTTGTAATTTGCAAATTTCATCAATTAAAACAAAATAAATTTTATAATATAGTATGTTAATTCTTGTTGTCATTATACAAATATAAAACAAAATTATGCTTAAATATAATGTTTTTTTTTTCCATGAAATTCGGCACATTAATTGTTAATGATCTAAAATTAATTCTTATAACAATATCTATACATTTTACTTATAAAAATGGTGCAGAAATTTATAAATGTGAATTTTATTTGTATTTATTGTATGCATATTTAAGACCAAAAGTTTCATATTAACATTTTGATGTTATAAATTTACGCAAAAAAAGTAAAAAGTTGTATTTTACATCTTGAAAAGTTAATAATAATAGAATTGTTTTGGCAGTGCTGTTAAAATTTTAGTAATATGAATGTAAATGCTAAATTTTAGGTGCTAAACATGTAAATATATAAGCACTGCATGTGGCCCTAAATAGCGTGAAAATATTACATCCACTAGTTGGGCAGATTTTTTAGGAGGGTGAGGTCTACTTGCGACCTGATACATTTACATCGGAGTCCCCGGATGTAATATTTTTTAGGAAGCCAAAGCTCGTCATTCGACATATCCCCACCACCACCTGGTTATTCGAAAGATATTTACATATCCCCACCACCACTCATTTTCCATCAAAATCTACTTCCTCCACCTCCCATTTCACTTCTACGGAGAGATTTTAGCTCTTTCACAGAGCCTAAAAAAACTTCCATTATTTCAAGCCACCCATCTCTCCCTTGCAATTCACTCTCCCTGCTCTAAATATGTCAACTCCTCCTTATCTCCATATTAGTCTCAATCTCTCTCTCTCCCCCCATCCGACTGCATGGAGCCAAAGAAGATAGACCCGAAACAAAAGTATCAATGCCGAATCTGTAACAAAGGATTCAATTGGGGAAGAGAATATGAAGAGCACATTCGGACCCATGGTTTCGAAGATGAAATCATTACTGAGAAAGAAGAAAGGCTGCCCACCGCCGTAGTTGGTGGAGACTCCGCCGCTGATATGCCTTCATACGATAGAGAGTGTTTTCCATTGAATTCCTACTTCAAACGTGATTATCGTAGCTCTAGTACTGCTGCTGCCTGCCGGCAATGACGATGACGGCCGAGATGGCCTTACTCCACCTTCACCGCCCTGCCCTTCATATAGAGGTAAGCAAATCGAGCGCAATAGAGAAAACTGTGGTAGTACCGATCGTCAAACTCAGTGGCGCACACAAGAAGAAGATGTCGCTCGTTTCCTCTTCGAGCTGTCCAAGGCCTGCCTTGAGCGTGCCCCTGTCTCGAACCAAAACCATCCCGCTACTCCGGCAGGTTACGAATGTGATAATTGCAATAAGGTCTTCTCATCCCACCAGGCCCTTGGCGGCCATCGAGCCATCCACAAAAATGTTAAGGGCTGTTCCGCTGCCAGCCTTGAATTTAGATCAGCCGGCACCAGAAACAATCAGATTAAAAACCAAAATAACAATGTCTATAATCAAAATATAATGGCCAGATTGCTGGAAAATATGACATTATCAATTGTCCCATAGGCAGAATATTCGCCGCGATGTCCGTTGTCACCAAGGAAATATCCTAAGCCTCATAAATGCAGAAAATGTCCCAGGGAGTTCCCGACTGGCCAGGCGCTTGGTGACCATATGCGTTGCCATTGGATAACATTAAAAATTACCACCACAGCGGCAACCACCACCGCCTCTGCTACTTCCGTAAACTCGACGACCATAGCCGCCGCGCCCGCCTCTGCTACTGCCACCACCTACACCCCGAACGCACAAATAGGAGCTAGTAGCAGCGAAGCGAATGAAATACAACTTCGTAGGCCGACTCTTCCTCTGTTGTTCAAAAATCCACATCTTAATTTAGGCCTAAATGTGCCGGCGGAGCCGATCGATGATATGGACGGAAGCTCGCTGCAGCTTTGCTTTTCCGACGTGAAATCTCCACAACATGGATGGGAGAGGGAGCTGAAGAGGAAGAAGGATCTTGGTGATTTAGCAGCGGAGCCGACCGATGATATGGACAAAAGCTCGCTGCAACTTTGCTTTTCCGACATAAAATCTCTACAACATGGATGGGAAAGGGAGCCAAAGAGGAAGAATGATCTTG